CCAGTGCTCAAGCACTGGCCCCACACATTGACCCCAAAACATCACCCCTGCTCTCTACCCCACACATTGACCTCAAAGCATCGCCCCTGCTCTCTGCCCCACACACCGACCCCAAACATTGCCCCTGCTCTCTGCCCCACACAGTGACCCCAAACATGCACCCTGCTCTGCCTCATGCACAGCCCCTTGCTCAGCCCCATGGTGCTGTTCAGGGGCAGCCAGCCCCCCAGTCCTCCCAGTTTCACTGGAGGAACTGGGCAAACCCAGACGTTGCGAAAGGTGGAAATCCCGCTCTGACAGTGCTTCCTTCCAGCAGCTCTTGAAAACCCGCCACGCCGATGCTGGGCTCAGAGAGCACCAAGCGACGCTGCGGGCAGGACAGGCAGGAGCAGGCAGGCAAGTGCCGCAGCACTCGACGGGTACCCACAGGTCTCTGCCCAGGTTTTCACAGTCGGCAGTGGAGATGGCGTTTGTCCCTGATTTGGACACATTGGAGAGCGGCAGGTAAGTGTGGCTGTGCTGAAGGGGACAGGGGAGACATGATGCCACTCTGGTGCCGTGACAGCCTCACTTCACCACCTCTTTTTTCCTTCTAGCCTGAACGAGGAGACATTTTATGACCCCGACTGCCTCTGCCCGCAGAAGGTAATGCTGGGGCGGTGGGAATGGCCCCGGGACCCGTGTGATGGGGAAGCCAGGCTCTTACCCCATGTCCCCTTCCCTCCTCAGAAACCCTGCCTGGACTCAGAGGTGACATTACCCAGAGTGGGCATCCAGTTGACAGTGACCAAGGAACACCCCACCACCAGGACCTTCCGCCAGGCTGCTGTGCTTGTGGTGGCTGTGACAAAGCTCCTGAAGCAGCCGGCACACAAGGACTTCACCGACAGTGACCTTGGGGGCTTCCTGGATGGTATTTTTGGTATGTAGGTGTGGCATCTGGGTTGTCACCTCAGCCATGGGTTGTTCTTGGGGGGTGCTCTTGGACCTGGATGCATCAAGCATCCCCTGACTGTCTCCCTCCCGGCAGAGCCTGTCTCCTTCCAGCAGATCGAGAGCAGCTACACTGGGGCTCCCGTCTACCGCTACACCCGCTCCCAGTCCTTCGACATCCTCGACATTGACCAAAAGTGCTTCGTGCTGGAGTCGCCCACCCAGCTGGTGGCCCTGCACCTGCAGGGACCCTCTGCTGGGCGGAAAGGTGAGAGGACACAATCCCAACCCAATGTCCCTGTCCCCAACCCCAGGACCACCCAGGAGCCACCCCCCAGCCCTGGGATCACCTGTTAACCCGTTCCTTCTCTCTACAGTGAAGCTCAATATCGCTCTGTACCGTCCCCGGTTATCGCAGGGTGGCCCAGGAACCGGGCGGATGCCGGTGGCTTTGGGCATCAAGGGCTACCAGCTCTACATGTCATGTGTGATGAGTGGTGCTGAGCCCGTGCTGCAGCTGGAGGTGAGCAGGGGGCCCCACCAGTTCTGTCCCACGTAGGGCTGGGGCCTCCATCCCCCCCTGAAGCCTGTTTCTCCTCCCTGGTTGTAGGAAGCCGATATCAGGAGGGACATCGAAAGCACGGAGCTAACCCGCTTCATCTTCTACCGCCTGGACAGCCCATCCGAGGGGACCACCCGCTTCGAATCGGCTGCCTTCCCCGGCTGGTTCATCTGCACCTCCCTGCAGCCCCGCCAACCCGTCAGCATCACCAACCAGCCTGACCAGGTCAACATTGCCACCTACGAGCTGAGCAGGCGCTGAGGAGCTCCTGCAGCCAGCCCAACCCAACTGGCAGTCGCTGGTTTTCAGGCCGTATGTACCAAGTACAAACTCCCCAGCCAGGACCCCCCATCCTCCCCATCTATTTCAGGTGAAATAGCAGCTCTGGGCCCTGTGGGTTACCCCAATTTGTACTTATTTTTTGTGTCTGTCCCATGCTTTTATACTTATTTATTGTGTCCACCCCTTGCTTTTATCTTATATACATTTTATTGGAAATATTGTTATCAGGAATGGGAGTATTTGTTGATGATGGAGGTGGAAATAAAAGGTTTCCCAGGATGGCATCACTCAGCTCATTGCTCTCACAGGGGTTCAGTGATGTGGGGGTGGTTTATGGATGGGAAATTCCCACAGTTTCTGCTGTTTTGGGGGGCTTTCCAGGTGTGGGCACAAAGCCTGAGGGGTAGGGGGTGACCACAGAGCCCTGGGACCACCCCACAGCCAAGGGACCAGCCCAGACCTGGGGACCACCTTGTCCCCATGCCCACCCCACAGCCAGGGGTGGTGTCTGGGGTGGGTGTCCCATGGGTGAGGGCCACCCATCGCCACTGGAAGCCTGGGAGTCCCCCCTCTGCCCCAGCCACTGCCACCACCCACCACTGAGGCACGACATGGTCAGCTGTAACATGGCAAGACATCGTGCCATGTGGCATGGCATCATATGGCATGGTGTGGCATGGTCTGGCATGGTGTGGCACGGTGTGGTGTAGCATTGCATAGCATGATGTGGCATGGTGTGGCATGATGTGACCTGGCATGCTGTTGTGTGGTGTGGCATGGCATTGCATTGCATGGTGTGCCGTGGTGTGACATGTCACAGCACGGTGTGGCGTGATGTGGCATGACATAACCTGGCGTGCTGTTATGTGACATGGCATGACATGAGCTGACATGGCATTGCATGGCATGGTGTGGCACGGCCTGCTGTGACGTGGCA